CTTTCTTTGTGCCCGGACATTTCCTGGCCGGGACTCTGCTGTCAGGAACAAGGGGTCCACACATACAGGCCTGGAGCACCAGGAAACTTAAGGGCAGCGAGGTGGCCCACTCAAGGTCACTGCACCCCTGTGGCAAAAAGATGATGTAAATACCCTGGAAGCCTCAGCACCCCCTGGGTGAGACCCCCAGACCGGAGCTCTCCCCAGACGAAGGCCTGAGGTCATAGGCCAAGCTGGAGAGGCCGGCACTGGCTCCGAAAGCCTCCTCCTCCAGAAAGGGGGGCCTGCGGGTGCTCCCCGGCTGATCTCCTGCACGAGGCAACCCAATTTCATTAAGATGGATGCGCCATGCTCCTGTGGGCAGGAGCCGCGGCCGGCACAGATGGCAGAAGACTGAGACTCTCGCGGGTGCTGCCCGAGCACACGGCCTTGGCTGGCAGCCCATGGGGCCAGGATCCAGGGAGGCCTACACTGTGCCCTTGGGTGGGGGGTTTTGTCCCGTCCCTGTGACCTGAAGCCCTGCCTCTCACCAGCCAGGTATCCCCACTTCTATGCTTCTGCCAGCCTCCCACCGCATCCCATACAAACACACATCACACCACACACACACTGCATCACACACACCCCATGCAGCACACAAGCACAGACACAAACGCCACCTCACACACACAGGCATCACACATCACGCAAATGCATACACACCCCACACACACAGGTAGAACTCCTGACCTCACACACACACCATCACACACGCCTCAATCACATTTCATATAGCCCGATAATATGAGAGTGGAAACCACTCCTGAATGTCAAATGTCAGATCGGTAAGGAAACGAGTCTGATTTTCTTATTTTTATTTGTTTTTTGAGACAGGGCTCACTCTGTTGCCCAGGCTGGAGTGCAGTGGCACAACCACAGCTCAATGCAGCCTCGACCTCCCAGTTCAAGTGATCCTCCCATCTAGGCCTCCCGAGTCGCTGGGACTACAGGCATGCACCACCACACCGGCCAGTTTTATTTTTTTGTAGCGATAGGGTGCCACTGTGTTGCTCGAGCTGGTCTCAAACTCCTGTGCTCAAGCAATCTTCCCGCCTCGGCCTCTCAAAGTGCTGGGACTACAGCAGTGAGCCACCGCATGCAGCCTCAGAGTCTGATTTTCTTTTTTTTCTGAGACAGAGTCTCACTCTGTTGCCCAGGCTCAAGGGCAGTGGCACAATCATGGCTCACTCCAGCCTGGACCTCCCAGGTTCAAGCAATCCTCCTGCCTCAGCCTCCTGGGTTCAAGTGTTTCTCCTGCCTCAGCCTCTCAAGTAGCTGGATTACAGGTATGTGCCACCATGCCTGGCTAATTTTTGTACTTGTAGCAGAGAGATGGGATTTCATCATGTTGGCCAGGCTAGTCTCCAAACTCCTGACCCCAGGTGATCTGCCTGCCTCGGCCTCCTAAAGTTCTGGGATTACGGGCAGAGACACCGTGCCTGGCCCAGAGTCTGATGTTCTATTTTCTGTTTTTTCTTTTTTTGAGATAGGGTCTCACTTTGTCACCCAGGCTGGAGTGCAGTGGCACAATCATGGCTCACCGCAGCCTCAACATCCCAGGCTCAAGCAATCCTCCTGCTTCAGCCTGCTGAGTGGCTGGGACTACAGGCACATACCACCATACCTGGCTCATTTTTTTTTTTTTTTTTTTTTTTTGTAGAGATAGGGTCTCATTATGCTGACCAGGCTGGTCTCAAATTCTGAGCTCAAGTGATCCTCTCACCTTGGCCTCCCATGGTGCTGGGATTACAGGAGTGAGCTACTGCACCCAGCCCAGAGTCCAATTCTCAAAGGCCTGAGGGAGGTCGTAGGCAGATGCCTCTTCAGGGAGGGGAAGGAGTGAGGGGGGGCAGGAAGGGGACATCTGGTGCCCACCCTCTCCAGGGATCCCCAGGGCCCTGCTGAGTGACAGGAGGGATGCCCACAGCCTGGCTGGAGACTCCTTCAAGCCCACAGCTTTTCAGGATGGAGGAGGGTAGGGGGTTGGGAGCCCCCCTGCCTCCTTTCCCTCACAGCCCTCTCCCAGCTCCCCCTGCACCCTTCCCCTGCACATCCCTGCAGCTGGACCCATGCCCAGGCAGTGACAGCCCCTCCCATATGGCAGCAGGAACAAAGAGAATCCCCTCCTCCCCAACAAAATCCAGAAGCTCCGGCAGCCAGGCCTCAAGTTCCCAGCCCAGGGCAACCCTCCACGTTCTCCATGGGCCACTGAAGCCTGCGGGGCCAGCACTGCCCCTGGCTTCAAAAATATAAATTTAAAAATCTCCACCCCAAGATAATTGCTCTCTCCTCTGGCTTATTGTGGTGGCTCGTGGTAGGCACTGAGAAGCAATTATTCATGGCTAATGATTATAATCAAGTCAAATAGAATTTAATGGACACGTATTCTCTTCCTGCTTGAAACTTTACATATGAATTAAGCACATATGGGTTTCACGAGGCACAGACGCAGATTTATGCAGCCCCGAAAAGCCCCGCCGTTGCTGGCGACTTTTATTCCACTAATAAACAGGCTGATTTATGGGCTCCCGGGAACTGCGATCTCTGCTGCCCCCTGGTGGGCGAAGAGGCTGGGGTGGGAGCCAAGGCACCCAGGACCCGGGAGGCCTGACCAGTGCGGAGGCCACTTTGAACGCTGGGGCTGCACAAAGCCCTGGAAGGCCCGGAGGAGACTCGGGCTCTGTCTGGGAAGCCTGTGTCCAGACTCTGCCTCCGCCATTCCCTGGGATTCCAGGCGGGTACTGGGTTCTCCTGGCTGTACAGGCTTCTGAGGACCCTAGCTGGGTCCTCCTAGAAATAAAAAGATCCCAGGAAAATACATCAAGAGGTGTGTGGGTAAACTGAGGCAAGCAGGGGGAGGCAAAAGCTGATCATCTGCAGGAGGTACCACGTCCCTCGGCACCCCCAGGACAAGGGTGATGCCCAGATGGCGCTGGGGACACCAGTTTCAGCACCATCGCGAGGTGGCAGGCCCTGATTCCCACCGGGTGCTGAGTGACTGTCATGCGCACATCACGGGCATCAGCTCTGAGTGACCTCAGCAACCTGACGGGTGGTTTCCTCGCCACCCCCACTGTGCAGAGGAGGAAACAGGCCAAGGCAAGGGCACAGAGAAGGGGAGTCTCCAGAGAAACTTGGCCAGGGCTGCCCCAACCCTGGCCCCGCTGCGAACAGAGCTGGCACTAACATGCTTCTGACGGAGCTGCCACATCCAAAGCCTAGCACCTGGCAAGGGCACTTAGGAAAAGGCATTAATCACTCCGCAGTCCAGGTGCAGCCTCCAGAGGGCCCCCATTCCATCTGCATCTGCTGTCACCCCACCTTGGTCCCTGCGCCCTTTCTCCCGGCCCATGTTCCAGCCAACCAGCAATCCAGGGGGGACAAAGCTCACAGGATGCCTCATTTTCCCTCTGACCACTTTGCAGCTCAGCAAGAAGATGCCGCTGGGCACCTCTCAGGCTTGCTAGTGATTGGCAGGGCTGGGGTACCCAGTGGCCTGCCTGACTGCCCCCTTGGCCACAGCCCCAAGGCTCTGTCCTCCCGCTCCAGGCCAGCACGTCCCTGGGTACAGGCAGCAAGAACACCCTACTCCCCTAGGTCTCTGTAACATCTGCCAACCCAGATGTGGCTTTGTCTTAGCCATGTGTCCCCAGACGGACTAGCAGTCCTCGTCCCAGTGGCCCCAGAGAAAGACACCTGAACCACCTGCAGGAGCCCAAGGTGACCCCAGCTCCCTCTGCCTCCCTAGGCCAGACACTCTGAGCAGTAACTCCTGCCTACATGTGACTTGTCATCTGTGTGCCTAGATGGGTGATTTGTGGGCGAGGCACCCCCATATGATTATCCAGCTTTGCCGTCACCGGCTGCTTCAGGAAACACAACTCAGACCCCGTGGACCAGGCCCAGGGCGGCCGAGTGACCTACCCTTTCCGGATCCCAGAGCCTGTCACTCACAGAGATCAATGGAAACGCTCACAGCATCCACACCACCACACCCTAGAGTCACTGGGGGACAGTGCTGGGGCCAGGTGCCACCGCTACAAGCCCAAAGTGGGGATGAAGGACACTAGAGAAGCTCTGCAGGTGACCCGGGCCTGCACAGGTTGGGAAGGGGCTGGCAGACAGGATTCTCCCCATGAGCTAGAGTCCAAGATGAGAGGGTCTGCCCCCACATTCAGGGCCTGAGAAAGAGGCCTCCCTTCCTCCGACACTAGGTGCAGATGCTGGGTAAGCAAAGGAGCGAGAAGCAGGCAGGCGAGGGTTGGGGTTCGGCCGCCAGTCGACCTGTTCCACAAGCCACCTGCTGGACCTAACCGGCCCGTGGCACCCCACGCCAAAGTCCTTTCCCGGCGCCTTTCGACCTTGCCAGACAACCACCGCCCGCACGAGGAGCAGCCCCCTTCCTCCCGCTGACAAAGAAGAGCCGACTCCCACACTCATCACAATCAACTGCCAAGCCAGCAAGAGGCGAGCACAAGAAGCTGAGCGGCTCCTGTTTCCAGGCGCTGGAAAGTTGCCAGGGTGCCGCAGGGGACCTCTCTGCCCCCACTGTCCCCTCAACGAGCTCCCTCACCTGCCCAGGCCTGAAGCGGGGCAGGGCAAGCCAAAGACAGAGGAAGGCAGGCAGTAGTAGGGGCGTCTGCGGCCCCCCAAGGTCAGACCTCCCTGCTCTGGCCACCGCCTTCCTGGCAGGGCAGCCCAGTTCTAGCTGAGCTCTCCCACTTTCCCGGCCACTAATGGGTCTCCGTGGAGCAAGGCATCCCCGACACAGCAGGTCAGGGTTTCAGGGGAAGAGGAGCCGAGTGGCCGGCATGCTAGGCTCCCACGGCGCCGGCAGGCCGTCCTCACTGGCCACCCCAGCCTCGCTGGAGCCAGGTGGCATCCACCCAGGCCTGGCATAGCATAGCACGGCAAAGGCAACGGGGCGGCCCCCAGAGCTCTGGCTCGGGCCAGCCACTCACCAGCATTGACGATGGCATCCACCTCCAGCTTGGTAATGTCGCCGCGGAGCAGGGAGATTTTCTCGTTGAGCTGCTTGTCCTTTTTATACTTGGGCTCCTCCACCTTCACGGCCACCCCTGGAACAAGCAGGGACCAGGGAGATCACAGCGAGGCTGGCCACTACAGAGGGACCCAGCCAGGGCCCAGGGCCTTCCCCATCGACCTCCCTCCACCTCCAGAGGCAGCCTGCAGTGCCATGACTGTTGACCCCATACCAGGAAGCCACGCTGAGGGGCACCTACTACATGCCAGCACCATGAGGGGACCCCTTGCATCTTCACAGCAAGGCCACCAGCAGGTACAACAGTGCTAATATCATCCATCCCATTTCACACAGGTGGGTCAGGGACTTGCCCAGGGTGACGGGTCACCAGGCCCACTGTCTCACCAACACACCCCACTGTAAGCAACCAAACCTCAGCTTCACACCTCAGCTCCCCACAAGCAAGGAGTGTCCAGCAGGTGGCTCACCTGACCCAGGGCTCTGTTTCCTACCATATAATGGGGATAAAAGTTCCACTTGCCTCAGGCTGTGTTAATAATTGAACAGGGTGGCTGGGAGCGGTGGCTCATGCCTGTAATCCCAGCACTTTGGGCGGCTGAGTTGGCAAATCATTTGAGGTCAGGAGTTCAAGACCAGCGTGGCCAAAAAAAAAAAAAAAAGCCAGGCACGGTGGCTCATGCCTGACACCCCATCTCTACTAAATATACAAAAATTAGTTGGGCATGGTGGTGCATGCCTTGTAATCCCAGCTACTTGGGAGGCTGAGGCAGGAGAATCACTTGAAACCAGCAGGCGGTGGTTACAGCGAATGGAGATTATGTCACTGCACCCCAGTCTCAGCAACAGAGATTCCATCTCAAAAAAGAAAAATAAATAAATAAATAATTGAATGAGGTGGCCAGGTGCGGTGGTTCATGCCTATAATCCTAGCACTTTGGAAGGCCGAGGTGGGCAGATTACTTGAGGTCAGGAGTTCAAGACCAGCCTGGCCAACATGGTAAGAGCCTGGCCCATCTCTACTAAAAGCACAAAATTAGCCAGACATGGTGGTAGGTGCCTGTAATCTCAGCTACTCAGGAGGCTGAGGCAGAAGAATACTTGAACCCAGGAGGCGGAGGTTGCAGTGAGCTGAGATCGCACCATTACACTCCAAACTGGGCAAAAAGAGTGAAACTCTGTCGCAACAAATAAAACAACTGAATGAAGTGACACACACACAGCGCCTGCGCACAGCAAGCACCCGATACGTCCCGCCAGACTCACTCCTCTCATCTGCACAATTCTCCCAGGCCGCGGGTCTGGGGCACGCCCACCAGGGCCTCCCTGAGCAGAGCCTACCTTTCGCCATCTCCTTCCACGTAGGGATCTTCTTCAGTCTCACAAAGTCCTTGCAGAAGTAATGTTCCTCCCGCTGCTTGTCACTCAGGCCCTTCAGAAAGGCTGCAGGAACAGGAAGGAGGATCAGGGCCGGGGGAGAGGAGGGGGCCGGGCGCTCCCACCCCAAGGTGTCCCCTCTTGCCTCATCCAAGAATGCAAACCAGCCCTTCCTGTCCATCCTTCCCTGGGCACACAGGGTGGGCCTGCTGGGGGAGCCTCAAGGCCACTAGAACATCTTGTCCTGTTCTCTTTGTTCGAAGAGGGAAACTGAGGCCTGGGGAGGCTGAGGGACCGGCTCAGGCATTGCAGACTTGGGTTCAGAATTCAGCTCTGCCACTTTCCAGCAGAGTCCACATCTCTCTGGGTCCCAGCTTGGAGCTTCCTCCCACACGCTAAGGCCAGGCCGGTTGGCAGCCTCACCAGTGACATTATCCATCAGTCCCACTGCCAGTCAGTTCTGCCTCATTGTCACTGCATGCAGGCAGCGGGACGCTGTCTTCCTCCAGGAGCTGCAGGACCAAGTGGACCTGGCACCTGTCCCCAACATCCCCCCCCAGCAGCAGCTGAGGGCTCCCAGTGTGGCCAAGGCGGCTGGAATCATCCCCATTTTACAGATGAGGAAACCGGGGCTCAGGGAGGTTGGGGGGCCACCCTCACACAGCAGGGACTCGAGTGAGGAGTCAGGCCCTTCCACCCACTCATGGACTCTGGATTCACCCTGGCCACATCCCCCTGCCCAGGCACCGCCCCATGGGCCCCGCCTTCCCTTGGGGGTGGCACCAGGCACAGAAACCCAGAACCGGCTGAGAAGCGCCGGCACTGACCAGGCTCGCAGCTCGTGGGCTCCCCCTGCTGGCCCGAGGCCGCCTGCACACCCAGGCTCTCAGCCCAGCCTCGCACCCTGGACCACAGGCTCCGAGGATGGAGCAGACCCCATGGCAAACAGCAAAGGCTACAATTGAGAAGCTCAAAAAGCATCAAGAAATATATGGAGGTGGGAGGGCAATTCGAGGAGGTGGTGAGAAAGGAAGGATTGACTCCTGGAAGCTTCTATGCACCTGGCAGAGAGGGGCAGGCACTTAAGAGACAGGTAGGTCCCCCCACAAATGCCCTTTTCCCGGCCAGAGTCACTTCGCCATCAAGGCCTCCATCTCCTCATCTGCCCACTGCTGACAGTGGTGATAACAGCCCAAGGACACTGAGAGCATCATATGACAGAACTCATGCGAGGGGCCCAGTCAAGAGACCCGGCTGGATGCGAAGCTAGGGTCATCAGAAAAGGCTAAGCCACGGCCAGGCACAGTGGCTCACACCTGAAGTCCCAGCACTATGGAAGGCCGAGGTGGGTGGATCACAAGGTCAAGAGATCGAGACCATCCTGGTCAACATGGTGAAACCCCATCTCTCTAAAAATACAAAAATTAGCCCGGCGTGGTGGCATGCACCTGTACTCCCAGCTACTTGGGAGGCTGAGGAAGGAGAATGGCTTGAACCTGGGAGGTGGAGATTGCAGCGAGCCAAGATCGTGCCATTGCATTCCAGCCTGGCAACATAGTGAGACCCCATCTCAAAAAAAAAAGGGAGGGGTGTACTAGGACCATCCCTGGTCAGCTTCAACTGCTGCCTGAGCCAGAGCCACTTATGGAAGGCGGGAGAAGTGGCAGCCCCTTCTCCCCTCTTCCATAACATGTTTGGGCCTGAGTAGGTCCTGTACTCAGTGCCAGGATGCATCGAGCACGCTGACCTGGCCCTGGCCCTTGTGAGTCTACAACGCAGCCAGGGAGACGGAGGCTGGTCAGGTGCTCCAGTGAAGCAATTCTAATTCTGAGATGCGCTATGAGACACTCAGGGCTGGGAGAGGAGTTCCCTGGAACCCTGGCCAGGCAGGTGGCGGTGGATGCTTCAGGGAGACTCGGAAGAGGAGTGGGAAGTAGCCAGGGCTGGAAAGGGTGTTTGGTGGCAGCAACAGCACATATGAGGTCATAGGAGAATAAAATTGTTTGTGGAGTGATGGCGGGGGGCGGGGGGACAGGCTTCATCCCAGGGGCACCATAACCAAACTGACAATGCTTTCACCTGGCCAGGTGCAGTGGCTCACGCCTGTAATCCCAGCACTTTGGGAAGCCAAGGTGGATGGATCACGAGGTCAGGAGTTCCAAACCAACCTAGCCAACACAGTGAAACACTGTCTCTACTAATAATGCAAAAAATAGCTGGGCATGATGGTAGGCACCTGTAGTTCCAGCTACTCAGGAGGCTGAGGCAGGAGAATCGCTTGAACCCGGGAGGTGGAGGTTGCAGTGAGCCGAGATCACACCAGCCTGGGCAACACAAAGACTCCATCAAAAAAAAAAAAAAAAAAAAAATGTTCACCAGGCCAAGCACAGTGGCTCAAGCCTGTAATTCCAGCACTTAGGGAGGCTGAGGTGAGTGGATCACCTGAGGTTAGGAGTTTGAGACCAGCCTGACCAACATGGAGAAACACCATCTCTACTAAAAATACAAAATTAGCAGGACGTGGTGGGCGCGTGCCTATAGTCCAGCTACTCAGGAGGTTGAGGCAGGAGAATCACTTGAAACCGGGAGGCGAAGACTGTGGTAAGCCAAGACTGCACCCTTACACTCCAGCCTGGGCAACAAGAGTGAAACTCTGTCTCAGGAAAAAAAAAAAAAAAAGCCAAGCACAGTGGCTCATGCCTGTGATCCCAGCACTTTGGGAGGCTGAGGCGAGCAGATTACAAGACCAAGCGTTCGAGACCAGCCGGGCCAACATGATGAAACCCTGTCTCTACTAAAAATACAAAAATTAGCCAGGCATGGTGGTGCCTGCCTGTAATCCCAGCTCCTCAGGAGGCTGAGGCAGGAGATCACTTGAACCCGGGAGGTGGAGGTTGCAGTAAGCCGAAATCGTGCCTGGTGACAGAGTGAGAGTCCGTCTCAAAAAAATAAAAAGAATGCTTTCACCAGACGCTTCCCATGAGTGTGCCATGTGCCCACTTTCTAAGAGGCCAAGGGTACCCTGCTGACCCCTCCATCACTAGCGTCCCTCGCTGCTCACAGCCCATTCCCTGCCCCCCTTTTTGAGAAGCCAGCCTCCCCACTGGCACATGGCCCCAGCAGGACTTGAGGAGCAGGCCAAGGGCTCCCATCTGAAGAGCCCTTTCTTTGTTGGGGTCAGGGACACTGGTATCTGGACGGAGCTGCAGCATTTCCAAGCCTCTGCTGTCCTCTTCCGTATAGTGAAGCTGTGGGGAGCCACCTCCTGTGTTTCACAGGAAGTGGACCGGGCTAGCCTGGCATGTGGCAAAGGGCTGAGCTCCCGGCAGCCAGTACCCCCTACCGAGGGCAAAAAACAGGCCAGGGAGGAGAGGCAGCTCGAATGCTGATAAGTCAGTTCATAAATATTTATCAAGCATCCTCACCTTCACCAAGGTGAGGTCCTGGGGCCTGACCAAGCAGAGGGGAGCACAGGAAAGCTCCAGGAAGTGGCCACCATTTCTCTGGTTGGTCCCAGGGGCTGTAAATCACTGGAGGAAATCCTACCAAGCAGAAGACTGCCTCTAAATGTTTTACCTCCCCCGTGGGGGGCTCTGTCGGCCCAGCCACTCAGCAGCTGCTTCGAAAGTAGACTCCCCCTTCCCCCCGCTTCCCTGCTGCCCCGACTCCTCCTCCAGCTGCTGTCCTCCCCACCAAGCCTGGCACCTCCACCACCTGCCCGCACCTTGTCCTCCCTCCCTCAGGTCACTGAGCACGAGGGTCCCTCCTGCCAGCGCTGCCTTGTGCCAGGCCCACCTCCCAGAGGACTCACTGCCGCAGGACCCCTCCAGCAGGCTGTCCTGTCTGCCCTCAGACAATCCCATCCCCTCCCTCAACGCCCGCATTCCATGCCCCTGCAGCCGCCCCCCTCCTCGTCTACACGCCTGTCTCTACTTCCTCCATCCAATCCTCCCTCCAGTCCGCCCAGTCTGGTCCCACCCTCCACAAGGTCAAGGTCACCAAGCCCCGTGGAACGGCCCTTCCTGCCTTCCCTGTGGACAGGAAGTGTCCTTGCTTTCCTCCCTAGGTCTTCTGATCAATTGCACAGATTCAAAACCCTCTTTAAGCGAGCGCCCTTCAGGGCTGACCCTCCAGTCCCTCCATGCTCTTCTGAGCCTCTGACCCCCAGGGCACCTGCCTGCTCTCATTCCCCAAAGGGCAGGCATGCAACATAGAACGTTTGACTCGCCCCCAAAACGTCTTTGCTCGAGGGCCTTGAACCAGGGGTCCCCCTCTTTCCTTCCTCTTCCTCCCATGTCTCATCCAGCCGCAGACCTGTTGGATTGATCCCCGTGTCACCCCAGAAACCAAGCCTTCCTTTCACCCCCCTGGGGCCAAGACTTCCTCATGGCTCCCTAGACCCCAACAGACGCCCCCAACTCCCAGCTGATCCCCAAGTGCACCTCACCCCCATCTGTTCCTCAACCGCAGCCCTGGATCCTGGGAACACAACTCAGGCACCATCCTCCTCTGTTCAAAATTCTATTCAAGCCGGGCGCGGTGGCTCACGCCTGTAATCCCAGCACTTTGGGAGGCCGAGGCGGGTGGATCACGAGGTCAAGAGATCGAGACCATCCTGGTCAACATGGTGAAACCCTGTCTCTACTAAAAATACAAAAAATCAGCTGGGCATGCTGGCATGTGCCTGTAATCCCAGCTACTCAGGAGGCTGAGGCAGGAGAATTGCCTGAACCCAGGAGGTGGAGGTTGCAGTGAGCCGAGATCACGCCATTGCACTCCAGCCTGGGTAACAAGAGCGAAACTCCATCTTGAGGGATGGGGGGAACTCCATTCAAACTCTGGTCACTTGGCCTCTTTCCCACCTCACTCCCAAAGCCACCTTCCCCACTACATAGGTTCCCTCAACAGCCAGGCTGCTTCCTGGCCCATGGCCTTTGTACCTGCTGTGCCTCTTGCAGGATATGGGATAGTTTGCTTTTGTTTACATTTATTCCTTTATTATTTTTTTGGAGATGGAATCTCACTCTGTTGCCCAGACTGGAGTACAGCAGTGCAATCTCGGCTCACTGCAACCTCTGCTCCTGGGTTCAAGCAATTCTCCTGCCTCAGTCTCCCTAGTAGCTGGGATTACACACCACCACGCCCAGCTAATTTTTGTATTTTAGTAGAGATGGGGTTTCACCACGTTGGCCAGGCTGGTCTTGTACTCCTGACCTCAAGCAATTCACCCGCCTCAGCCTCCCGAAGTGCTGGGATTACAGGCTTGAGCCACGGTGCCCGGCCTCCTTTCTTGATCTTGGCCATCCTGGCCTGCAGGTTCCATAGAGGATCTGTTGTGTTTATCATTGGATTCCCACCACCCCACACAGTGCATGGACACCTGAGGGTGGCTGAGGGGTGCACTGAGGAATGAATGAGCCAAGACCAAAGGCCAAGGGCGAGTTTGCCAAGAACAGAGTCTTCCAGGCAGAGGGAACAGCATGTGCGAAAGTCTGGAGGTAAGAGGGAGTGAGAGATGACCCTTTAGAGCATTTGGGTGGAGAAAGTGAGGCAAGTCGGCCTCTCCAGGTCTGCCTCCCGGTCTGAGGATGGGCAGATGCTGGCAGCGCCCGGCCTAGACCCAGGCTGTCGCTGTGGCTCTTCCTCTGTTCCAGGTCCCGCCAGGTTTGGGCCCATGACCTCCTGACACCATTGGAGCCTCAGTTTTCCCATCTCTAGAATAGGAACAAGGCAGGCCTTCCCTTGCTAGCATCCAGGCTTGCTAGGAGGGTCAAAGGAGAAGCTGGCTGTGGAAACATTCTGTAAGCTGCAAAGTGCTGTCTACCCATCAGACACACTCACTCCTTCCTGGCGGTGAAATAAGACTTGAAGAGAACAAAGCCAACAAGACAAAATTGTGGAGAACTTTTTTTTCCAACTTGGGGACACAGCAGGTAGAAGAGCTTTTCTAATTATTTGGGTCCTCAGCACTTGGGGAGGCCAAGGGAGGCCAATGGCTTGATCCCAGGAGTTCAAGACCAGCCTGGACAACATGGAGAAACCCCATCTCTACCAAAAAAAAAAAAAAAAAAAAAAACCAGCTGAGCATGGTGAATGTGCTTGTAGTCCCAACTGCCCGGAGGCTGAGGCAGGAGGATCACTTGAGCCTGGGAGGTCAAGGCTGCAGTGAGCTGTGATTGTGCCACTGCACTCCAGACTGGGCAACAGAGATCCTGTCTCTAAATAATAATGTGGGTCCCTATATGTGTCACCTTGTGCATCTGTGACCTCCCCACTGTGAGGCCTTGGCATGCCACTGTGTGGGCACTCCCAGACGGCTGCACCTGTGGCCAGAAAGGCAGGTACCCACTGTGATGCTGGTGGGACTGGCGGGCTGGGACCCCACAGGCCTTGCTAAGTGTTTCTGGCTAGGCAGGCCCTGGGCATCCCATGGAACTAGACCGGGGTGCCCAGAGACACCTCAGGTGCCCTGGCAGACATCATCTGGCAGGTGCCACCACCTTGTTCTAGAGAAGAGGCAGAGTGACCTGCCCCTGGTCACACAGAAGTGAGAGGAACCTGGGCTTGCTCCCATACTGTCTACCCTACGCATGATGGCCCGGTCTGAGTGACCCACAGCTCACACAGCCGCTTCTCTCTAGCAAAGCTCACAGGACAGCTCCACTTCCCAAAGACAGCATGCCAGCTCTGCCACCAGCCAGCTGGGCACCTACCTTGGGGACATCTGTCAGCCTGTCCCTTCTAGTCTGTGGAGCCCAAGTGCATACCTCAGAAGGCCAGCAGTGTCTGAGCGCCAGAACAGGGCTGTGGCCCGGCGGGTCCCCAAAGACCTACACGCTGCATTGGTTTCTGATTTACGGGAAAAGAAAAGGCCAACAACGCCATCCGCAACAGTCCTCGCCCGCCAGGCCCCTCTTCACTCCTCCGGAGGAGAAACAGGGACCTGAAGCCAGGCACATGCCCCATGCATTTGTGTTTTTATTTTTTTGAGACAGTCTCACTCTGTGACCCAGGCTGGAGTGCAGTCAGGTGATCACGGCTCACTGCAAACTCTGCCTCCCGGGTTTAAGTGATTCTCCTCCCTCAGCCTCCTGAGTAGCTGGGATTACAGATGCCTGACACCACACCCAGCTAATTTTCTGTATTTTTGGTAGAGACAGGGTTTCACCATGTTGCCCAGGCTGGTCTTGACCTCTTGACCTCAGATGATCTTCCCGCCTCAACCTCCAAAAGTGCTGGGATTGCAGGCGTGAGCCACCACGCCCGGCCTTGCCCCACGAATTTCTAACATTTCCCATATTCTCCTGTAAGAAGGACAGATGCAGACTTAAAGCACAAGTGAGTTTTATTTTTTTTTATATAGAAGATGTAAAACATGCATTTTCATTCCTTTCATTTTTGAAGAGGCGAGAGTATTTCACAGCTCAGTGAGACAGGTGTTGTAAAAGATGTTCGCAGTAAATTTTGATGGAGAGGCCTGACCCCGGACGCAGCTTCCAGCGGCTCCCAGGCACCAAAGCCGAGCGGGAGGAAGCAAGCTCCGCCAGAACCATAAAGTGCAGCGGGGAACGAGAATTCAATGATGTGTTTTAAGAAGTGTCTTTATGGCATTTTGCAAGATGGTGTTCAGAGAGCTGAAGGCAGGCTGGCGCACCAGGGCAAGGCTCCACTCAGAGAGAATGCCAGGTGGGCTGGGCTGATAAAGGCTGGGCTCCCAGAACACAGCAGCATTTAGACCCATGGCAGGGGCATTCATCACCTGTGCTCACCGGCCAGCAAGGCCAAGGTCTTGTCAAAGCCCACGCTCAAGCGAAGGGGAGACGGCACACTCTCTCCTCTCCCTGCCCCCGTCTCCATCCACACCGGGGCATTGGCAAGGCTGTACCCCCAGAAGACAGGTGGAAGAAGCCCCCTCCCCTACTCCCAGGGGTACCTGGAAAATTTGCCAGTGCTGCAGTCACATCAGATGAGACATCCACTCTGGATAAAATCGCACGGGGCTGAAGTTAGTCCCGGCTTCCACGCAATGTGGCATGAGGCTGGGGCGCAGCAACCCCACCTGGAGCCACCATGGAGAGGATGAGGCTGTGTGGGTTCAGGGCCCCAGCATGTGAAACAAGCTCCAAGAACCTGGTGTCACCATGGCCAGCACAGAGGAGAGAGAGGAGACAGGCCTGAAGGCCCCACGGGTGACAAGGAAGGGGGGGCCACTGGTACCCACCCTGGGCCATGGTATATAAAATGGTTTCTTATTTTTAGGAGAGACAAGGTCTTGATATGTTGCCCAGGCTGGTCTCGAACTCCTGGGCGCTAGCAATCCTCGCACCTCGGCCCCTAAAGTGCTGGGATTACAAGCATGAGTCACCACACCTGGCCCACAATGGTTTCTAATGTGATCCCAGCACAACCTCCAAGCAGGTGCTATTGATCCCATTTTAAAGATGAGAAGACTGAGGCTTGGAGAGTGAGGAAGCAGCAGCATGTGCCCACGTCTGATGACACCAACGTCCCTGCTCTCTGCAGCACACAGCTCTGCCTGCGGTGGGGAAAAAGGACCCAAGGCCAGACCCTCCTGTGGTGACACAGCACCCAGAGACCCCCCCAAGGACCCAACCAGGAGTCCCCTAATGCCCAACTGCCTTTACAGCAAAGCTGTTTCCATGAACGAAGTGCCCCAAAACTGAGGATATTAAATTAGAGAAAGTCAGCCGGGCGCAGTGACTCAAGCCTGTAATCCCAGCACTTTAGGAGGCTGAGTCGGGAGGACTACTTGAACTCGTGAGTTCAAGACCAGCCTGGCCAACATGGCGGAACCCCCGTCTCTACAAAACATACAAAAATTAGCAGTGCATGGTGGTACACACCTGTAATCCCAGGTACTCAGGAGGCTGAGGTGAGAGGATCGCGGGAGTCTGGGAGGCAGAGGCTGCAGTGAGCCAAGATCCCGCCACTGCACCCCAGCCTGGGCAACTTTATTCACAAGAACGCTCAGGGCAGCTTTATTCATAAGAAACCCAAATGCCTATCAACAAAAGACTAGGGGCCGGGCATGGTGGCTCAACAGAGTAAGACCCTGTCTCAGATAAATAGGCCGGGTGCAGTGGCTCACGCCTGTAATCACACCACTTTGAGAGGCGGAGGCGGGGAGATCGCCTGAGGTCAGCAGTTGGAGACTAGCCGGACCAACATGAGAAACCCTGTCTCTACTAAAAATACAAAATTAGCTGGGTGTGGTGGTGCATGCCTGTAATCCCAGCTACTCGGAAGGCTGAGACAGGAGAATCGCTTGAACCTGGGAGGCGGAGGTTGCGGTGAGCCGAGATTGCACCATTGCACACCAGCCTGGGGAACAAGAGCAAAACTCTGTCTCAAAATAAACAAACAAAGCAACCCTGGCCAATAAAACCAGACACTGCTGAAGTCTCCCCAAAAGACTGAAAGTCTCCCAGCCAGGGAGAGCCAGCCTGAAGGCATCTCCATACCTGGAGGGAGACCACAGAAATGAGCATCAGCTTGGAGGTAAAGAAACTGAGCACCTGGGGGAAGCTGAATTTGGCCGTCAGCCTGGAGGACAAGCTGGGCATCGTTACAGGGGTCTTGAGCAGGCACTCAGCACTGCATATAGACAGAAATACTGGGCAGACGCCCAGGGAAGGGGATCCCTGTGGGTGGGCTGACCTTTCTCAAGCAGGTAAGCTTGTCTGCGTTGCCCAGGGCAAGGCTTCCAAAATCACACAAGCAGCCCTGGATGAGAACACATGCTCTGAGCAATCCTAAGGTTACAATCTGTGTTGCATGAGGCTTTCCCATCGGGACAGGAGGCTCCCCCAAGGCACACCTGAGTTTTCAGAACCGCTGCTATCATATTTCCCCACCATGAACTGCACATCTGCCTTCTCACCTATACATCAGTCTCTTATGAGTTTGGTTACCGTGTGCCAGGCTTTGAGAGAGGATCCTCTCAGACAGACAAGTATTTGGAGGTCTATCTAGGTATATCCCTGAAATGAGGGCACATGTCCATCAAAGACATGGAGAGAACGTTCAGGAAGCAGGGCACAGTGGCGCACATCTGTAATCTCAGCACTTAGCACTTTTGGAGGTGGGAGGATCACTTAAGCCCAGGAGTTCAAGATCAGCCTAGGGCAATATAATGGTAACCTGTCTCTGCAAAACATTTTTAAAAACATTAGCTGGTGGCTCAAGCCTGTAATCCCAGCACTTTGGGAGGCCGAGGCGGGTGGATCACGAGGTCAAGAGATCGAGACCATCCTGGTCAACATGGTGAAACCCCGTCTCTACTAAAACTACAAAAAATTAGCTGGGCATGGTGG